ATTTGAATTATTTTTCTGCCTTTTCTTATTTATGTAAGACCAAAAACTATTTATATCGATTGCTATGTTACTTTCTATTTTATTTATGTAATTTGCATGTTCTGTTTTGGTTAGTTTTTAATTTTCTTTCTAATCTCTATGTATCTAGTTGCATATTCATTTGATACCATCTTTAGTTTTCTAAATTTCTCTTTTTCACCAAGCAATTGTTTTAGCTCCGTCGTAAACCATGCAGGGTAATTATAATAATAGTAATAATAATAACGATTTTATTGATACAGGCCTTTACAAAACATTAAAATACATGACTTAAAATATGATAAATACAAGGTATCCTGTAGAGCAACAGGCAAAGTTCGCTTTCTTCAATCTGAAAAAAAAATCAGAATGAAGAAGAGCGTTACTTCTAGGTCTTCTATTTTTAAATTTGACAACACATATATCAAAAATATTATTTAATGTTTCACAAAAAAAATTCTGTTGCCCTATTTACATCTTTTTGAGCTAAGACATTACCCCAGTTAGCTTCCCTCAGTTTTTCTACTAATAAATCAAAATTGGCTTTTTTAAAATTAAACTTGTTACTTAAATCCCTATTGTCACAGCATTTTTTACCTACAACTTTATTGATCTCAACGTATATTTTTAAAGCCGGATGGTACTCACTGTCCTCTTTCACTAAAGCTTGGCCACACTTTTCAACAACGACCTAGTGGAATCTGATGACATGACCAGATCTAGCGTTTCCCCTGTGTTATTGATACCTGTAGTAATTCAAATTACCATAACATCTAATATTTTTGAAAATACTAAATTATACAAACAAGGTAATAAAAAAACGTCATTTAAATAAAAGATTTCTGGTTTGTATGCAACAAACGATCTTGGTTAGAGGGTAACACGATTGGTAATAACTTTATATAGGTAAATTATTTAAATGTATATACTATTTTTTAGGTAAAATGTCTCATCGATTATATTAAATTAACTGGTTGATCCATTTTTCCCATTCAGACTTTTAAAAGGAAGAACCATTTTTCTCTTTATCTTTATCAAATTTTTATTGTACATTTCCATATTGATGTCAAAAAGTTACCTCATCAGAATAATAAAATTTTTCCTTTTAGTGGGTTTTGTGGGAAAAAAAAATTACAAATTTTTTGCTTGCTTCTTACTTTATAGTATTTACAATTGGGTACAAAATAGACCATTTGTTGAATGGTCTTAGGCACTGAAACAAAATATAAAATAAATTACAGTCGTAAAACTTTATTAAAGGTAAACAACATAACCTTAAAAAGTTTTTATTTACCTTGCCTTAAAGAAATTTTTCGGGAACAATCGTTAAATTGACCTACATCCTTCCAATTTAATAAAGTTACAGTTCTCAATTAAACACATTTTTTTAAATGATCACAAATAATAAAATAATCTTAATTTTATTAAAACCTTTTTAGAATGACGGAATAATGACAGAAAACGAAATGAGAGTTTGTTTTATTTGGTACAGTGTTGCCAGAATGTTTTTTTATGTCCCAGATTTGTCTAAAAAATGTACCAGATTCCTTAAATGTATCAGATTTTTCGAATTCTATTTGCAGTGATATCTAATTCATTGAAGGGGAAAAAAGGGGGTCTTTATTGATAACGAACCCAAACACGTGAACATGCAGAATGTACTACATCTAGTACAATTATAAATATATATACACACACACACACACACACACACAGACACACACGCACACGCACACGCACACGCACACGCACACGCACACGCACACGCACACGCACACGCACACGCACTCGCACACGCTAACGCACACGCACACGCACACGCACACGCACACACACACACACACACACACACACACACACACATACAATGTTCTTCTAAAAGCTTAATTAAAAGAATAAATGAATGTTTTCTTGTTAAATTAAACACCATTATTAATTGTTTAGATGAAAATAAGATTGAAAATTTCGATGCGTTGTTATAGTCTATTCTGTATTCTTTTGTATTTGAATAGCTTACCATGTAGAGCAGCAAACTTGGGGCCCACAAGAAAGTGGCCCTTAAATACCCAAAAAATAATACTAAAATTTTAACAAATTCTGTAAAAAATGTAAAAAGTGTGGAGCCCTTTAATATTTTTTTTATGTTTTAGGTACCTCTCTGCTCCCTCTGATGGATTTCATCAGATTCCTACCCATACGGCTTGGGTTTTAGCCTAGCTGCCTCAATCAGGTTTGGGTTCCAGAATGCTTTCGCTCCCCTGGAATTCGCATGGCGGTACTACAGTCTCACGGGCTTACTGTATCACCATTTGGATGACCTACTTCTTCCCACTCATTCAACGCTGAGCTATGATCGGTGTTTTAAATACCTTTCATAATCAGCTGGCGACCCGACTCTTGATAAACTATAATCAAATACCTACATTTTGTATCCTCCTTTATTCTAGCCCATATTTCAGTAAAAGTTTAATAAATACAATTGTGTTATTATAGCTCGTTCTAGTGTAAAATTGGATGTCATTTAAAGAGCTTACAAACTGACAAAATCCCCATAGAGCATAAACGAATACAATTTTAAGAGGATATTATTTGAAAAGTGTTTAGTTTATCGTCTCTATATGATGCACCATAAATAACACTTTTACGAGAACGTATATACACTCTAAAGTTATACATTTTCTGTCACTTGAATGTAATGCTGTCCCTGTGATATAGTGGTAATACGTGGAATTTATATGAAATCGAAAAATAGACTAATATATTTTTGTAGAAATTTGCAATGAAATAAATACAATTAACAAAATTATTCGTTCTGGTTTATTTGCTTTTATTTCAAACTACCCTAACCAATGTTTTTATCTAATACAATTCACTTAGAACTAACTCTATCAACAAACTACCTTGTTTTCTCTATTAAATCACTGCAATGAACAAGCATATTACAGTCTTGGCGATCTAATTTATAATAAATAAATTACGGGCAATAGTGTATTGTACATACACAAGAAAAGTGCTAATTAGATTTTATTTAATTTACACTGAGAAAACAATTGGTGAGTATAGAGTATTCAGCAATACTCTTATCCAGGGGCGGTTTCACCATTGATTTCTTAATAACACATTATTTTAAAACAAATAACCTAAAAATATAAATTCAATTTTTGTTTCCAACAGAAGACATAAACAAAGTTTTAAAAACAGAAAACTGTGTAAATGTATACAATGTCAATAGAGACAAGATTTAATTATATTCAAGTGTGTCGGGTAAACTGTAGCAAGTTTATTATGTTGACTTTTATTTAAAACGGTACTCTTTTACAGAATAACCATCCAACCTAAGCGATGACTGGCTTCCATCAAGAAAAGAGTCTTATGGCAATGATATAAAGTACCTAACTTTAAATAGATCATAGATTATAGTTGCGAACCAAGAAAAATCATTGTACCAGAATATATTTCAGAAGTATGATAATTTTATTATATATTTTATTTAATAAACAAGGATACTTTCTTGAGCGTAGTACAATTTTATATGAATAATTGTTTTATTTTGTAGATTCTCCCTAATGAATTTGAAGTTACTTTAAATGCTAGAGGTACTGATAAACAATGTCATACTGATGTAGTGGTGAGGATTTTACTGAAATGATGGTTCGCATGCATCTACAAAAAAATGGAAGCTAAACTTACATTACAGTTTTTTTTTAAACAATATAAAAAATAAATATTGCAGTGGCCTAAATTATTTCCAAAAAACTAAATAATTATGTCGACGTTAGGTATGCACTTATATCATGAAGACTGAATAAAATTTTTACCGATATCAGTACCTGGGAGGTAAACTGAACTATGTCGACATAGTACAATTTTATAAAGGTTATATTTTTAAATTTAGCTCATCGAGTCTTTTTCAGGAGTGTACTATACCATGTATAGTAATGTCGCAATAAAAATTGACTAAAAAATATAACACTATGTTCAAAAAACTTACAGGTTAAACAACAAACACTTTTTAACTCTCACGTTAGTAGTCGTACTATTTATAGAGGCATGTGAGTGAACGCCGCTGTGAACTAGATAACGTGAATACAGGAGCTCTTGAAAATAAGAGTTTTTAAGTGATTTAAAGTGCTTCAAAAATTGTGATTTTTATACTAGCTTAAATAAAAAGCAAAGATCTATCTGCTATAGTAAGTGGCATCCCTTATAAGAATAAATCAAATAAAATATCAGTTATATGTATACAAATAAATTTAGAGCACAGTAATTATTGACAAAAACTGTTTTGAGATAACACAAACAACTATTTTATATATTATATAAATGAAACCCAGTGGCGGAGAAAACTTGTAAATTCTTCAAAATGAATGAACCAACACCTATTCAACCTAGTAAAGCAAGTCCAGGAACACTTATCCAACAAAATAGATAATATAAATTTTGAAGTTAAACAATTATCATTTGCTATTACAAACAAAATTCTCACGAAATAAATAACAAATTGGAAGTATTAGAAGCAGAAAATACACTATTAAAAAATCGTCTAGAGGCACTAGAGGAAAACCTCAAAGAGTCAGAACCTTATATTCTATGGGATTCGAGATAATCCCCAAGAAACAACACAAGAACTGCTTAATAAAACTAAAGAAATTGTTACTACGCAGTTAAACGTTGAGCTAGAAAAATTTGACGTAACTAATATATATCGTATGAGAAAAAACAAGAAGCGGTCAGACCAGTGTTACTAAAACTTCACTCATATATGAGAAAAAGCGAAATACTTTTGAATTCCAAAAAACTAAAAAATACTGGTATTTATATATCTGAAGACCTTACTCCAAAAGACCTAGCAAAAAGAAAAATTATTATATAACATATAAAGAACGTAAGAGACGAGAAAAAGAAAGCACCATCAAAGAAAACAAAGTAATAATAGAAGGAAAGTCATAAACAATCGAAGACAACAAATAGCTAAGAAATAGAAAAAGAAGAATATTCTCCACCTAGACAAAGAAAAGTATCTAGTGCTCCAGATACCCCTTCACAAATTACTGAAGATATTACAGAGAATTCTACGGAAGCGGAGAAGGCCATTGAAGTAACAACAAAACAACCTGAAAAACCACAAGTAAGTAACGAACAAACCAAACGTTATTTCACTCGTCTTGGTTCAACTAGTTCCTCAGGAGCTACACTGAAGACAAAGAAACCTGCTATAAATCCTGCTTTAAAAAAGAAGACTGAAAAGTGAACATTTATTTTAATTTTGTTGCATTGTTCTTTAATCTGTCTCTTTCTATTTCTTAATTTAATACCATTTTTACCATTTTATCACCATTTTATTACCATTTTATTATCATTTTATTACCATTTTATTACCATTTTATGACCATTTTATGACCATTTTATGACCATTTTACTACCATTTTATTACTATTTTATTACCATTTTATTACCATTTTATTACCATTTTATTACCATTTTATAACCATTTTATTACCATTTTATTACCATTTTATTACCATTTTATTACCATTTTATTACCATTTTATTACCATTTTATTACCATTTTATTACCATTTTATTATCATTTTATTACCATTTTATTACCATTTTATTACCATTTTATAACCATTTTATTACCATTTTATTACCATTTTATTACCATTTTATTACCATTTTATTACCATTTTATTACCATTTTATTACCATTTTATTACCATTTTATTACCATTTTATTACCATTTTATTGCCATTTCATTACCTTTTTATTACCATTTTATTACCTTTTTATTGCCATTTTATTACCATTTTATTACCATTTTATTACCATTTTATTACCATTTTATTACCATTTTATTACCGTTTTATTACCATTTTATTACCGTTTTATTATCCTTTTATTACCATTTTATTACCATTTTATTACCATTTTATTACCGTTTTATTACCATTTTATTATCATTTTATTACCATTTTATTCTAATTCCAGTGTATTTTGTAGTAACTAAATCCAAATACTTTTTATAATTACTTACAGTATATTTATGAATTTTATGTTTTTACTCTAGTACTAAATAAATATATCTTATTATTGACTTAAATCCGAGATTAGTCAAATATAATTTATTATGGATCAATATATTAGAGATTTTATCATAAGCGAAATAAATACCATTACTTTAAATACATGTTATGAATGTAACGAAGTTCTTAAAATTAATAGCACTAATTTAAATTTCAAAATATTTCATAATAATATAAGAAGTGCATTCAAAAATATTAGTTTTTGTAAAGTCACATCTTGAATACTCATGTGAAATTGTTTCTCTCGAAAATGACAATAAATTGATTCTGACAAATGTTAACTATTACAAAAAGATAATTAAAATGTCATTTCTTGTTCCCTCTTCTCTTGAGAGGATTTATTGTCTATATTTTCTAGATTTGATATCTTTTTTCCCTGATCCTTTGCCTCCAATACTATATTTTCCATATCTGCAGATATTTTTCTTGTACTATTTTAAATTTCTTATTTTGTTCATTTTCTACTTCATCAATTCTTCCTATCATTTCTTTTCTTAAATTTTTTTTTATTTCTTCAAATTTTACATCTGTTTCCTCTTTTAATTCTTCAAATTTCTTCATTAGTTCTTCTTTATCTTGTTTCCTGTTTTCTTCCATATTATCCAATTTATTATATACATATTTCCATAGAGTTTTTCTTTATCTCCATAGACATTGTTTCATTGTATTTCTTCATTTCCATAGTGTTTTTCTTTATCTCCATAGACATTGTTTTACAGTTTTTGTTTATTTCCATTATTGCCGCAAATATGCTCCTTAAAATTTCTTCGTCTTCTGCATTGTCTTCCATTGTTTCAAGCTTCTTTCCTCCTCGCAAATCCATATACATTTTACACTTTCAAAAAATTTTTCACTTCTAACCAAACTTTTACTTGTCTATGTAAATCTTGTGTACTTTTGTGTTCTCCCTAATATAATTTTACCCCAATTTTAAAATTTTCTATCCTAAATGATTGAATTTATTTAAATAACATTCCAATTTCCAAATACTACAGACTGTCTCATACACCATTCATACTGTTCTTACCCCAAATAAAAGAATCAATAATTTAAATATAAATAGAAGGTCTTACCAAATCAATTTTGTACAAATTTCGTTCCCTTGGCTTTGTACTTCCAAATTTTGTCTGCCTTCTTTTCTTTTTTTATGCCCCTCAAAGTTTATATACCCGCCCCACGTTGGGCGCTACTTGATATGGAAACACCCAGTATATGGATTTCCAAAATATTCTAAAACTACCAAATCCCAAAACAGGGCGGGTTCAAAATCTAGAAAAATTAATTTCGTATAAAAAAAATAATTAAAAATCAGTTTAAAAAAATCTTCTATTTCTCTGCCCCTGCTCTGCTCTTGCTCCTGTTGTTAGTTCTTATTCTACCTCTGGTCTTATTTTTTATACTTTCCTAGTCTCCTACCTCCTACTGTTTCTTTTCTATCTGCTTGCCACTGTTACTCTATTTTTTGTATTTTAGTTTCAATGAAATAACTTGTTTTTACCTTCATATTTTGCTTCAAATTAAACTTTTATTTATTATCATCAACTTTATTCAACTATAATAACTTCTTTTAAATTATATTTCTAATAACATTTACCAATTATAATCGGACAATATCCTAAATTTTTAATGACAAATCTATCAATTTTAAAATAAAACAACACCATTCTTGATAATTTCACCATAATATTTTTCTAGACTCTAAATCATTCAGCTTTGCTTACTTCAAGTTTGACATATAATTTTAAATTTCCCTGATCTATGTGTATATATATAGTCAGCCTATTTTTGTATGTTTTTAAACATGGTAGTTTGAGCAATGACCGCAACTGCCGCCACTTTCGTGTGCTGTATATTCTGAGATATATTTAAAGGAGGTAATGGCATCCAATGATATACATATTCATTTTGAGTACCTGGTGGCCTCTGTATATTCCGTTTTCGGTTTGATGGCATCCATTTCGTTGTTGCCAGATCTTATATTGGTTTATAACTCAGCCTTTTTATTTTTATAGATTCTGTAACATACTTTCACTAGGATGAGGCGCCCTTGCGATTTACTTCCGAGAAAATAACATGTGTTTTTAAAGCTATTTTTATTATATCTTTTGAAATATACTGGTTAAATTAGGTACACTTATTCTGTCACTTTTTAAACTGTAATCTGTGAGAAACAGTTTTGTTTTGTATAAAAATTTTCACAGATTTGTCTGCCAATGTTGATGAAATTAAAACGCTTTTAATCGTATAAGGCATAAGCTAGAAGAAATTAGCGGACAAACTGGGCGGCGATGCTTGAAAATTTCAATATTGTTATTTGCTGAAATCTTTGGTTTAGATGGACTTTAGTGTCATGAAAGTTAAAAAATAAATAAAAATTATCATTTTTATTGAAAAAATCATTAATTCAGTTTAAAATATTATTTAAAACAAAATATAATTTTTATACCGATTAACCAATTAAACAAAACATTAAGACTAACCAATGATTCAAAATATATATTTTTTTCTTTTAAAGTCAGGTTTTTTGCCGTCAAACAACTATGGCAGCAGAGAGGGGAAAACACATTTAGCCCAAGATTACAAATACAATTCTTATACTACCAATTCAGTACACTACTTTCAATTTATTAAATCAAAATCATTAAATAGCAAGAACTCCAACATAATTTTTAGGTCTTTGAAGTCATTCGTATCCGCCGATAAATATTATTCCATCAACTTTCCGTTTGAATTAACTTATTACCTGGAACGTTACATAGTAAGTCTGTTTTTTCTGCCTAGGCAGTAAAAATATATCTTTTTAAGTCTTTAAAGTGTCAATAAAAAGCCGCTTTGGGTACAAGAAACCAAGTTTTTTTTTAAATATTTGAAAAATGGCTAACTTTTAGTATCTATATAAACGACGTGGAATCATTAATTTTCCTACGAATTTCTTTCAAAACTAAACATATTTACATGTTTTCTTTTCGTTACACCTGACAAATAATGAAACACATCAAACTTTTTTGTGAAAAACAATTATATTTTTTAAAAAAATATACCTTTATCGCGAGATATAGCGGTAAGTTACAAAATTAAACATATTTTATTCCAACGATTTTGTTGAAAAATCTAGAAATTGTTCAGGTAAACAGTTCCCGATGTAAGGCCAAACTTTATTCTCGTGTGTTATTTAAAAAAATTTTTTTTATTAAATTTAAATAATTTTTCAAAAAATCAAAGAAGCGACATTATACTTTCCAATTATACAAGATTCTCCAAGAAAGTGATACATATCAAAGTTTTCCAAAATGGGACACCTTGTATTTCATATTTGAATTTTCCTTGCCTTTCTTAATATACCAATAAAATAGTCTGAGATTATAAAGGGTATTTCATACGCTATAACCAGTTTTATATAAAAATCGTACTGATTTCAAAGACGTGTATAGTGCAAAATAAACATTTGAAAACCATTTTTGTGCAGTAAAAGGTTTTCATTATTAGTCAAAAAAAATTACACCGATGTACTACTTTTTTACTTTCCTATCTGTATACAGATATAAGGAAAGTATAGGAATCATGATTTTTTTCGACCTCGAGTTTTCGACGGATTTTTACGTTTTGAGGTCCCCTGAATCCGTTTTAAATATTTTCGCGATGATGTCTTTGTGTGTGTGTGTGTGTGTGTGTGTGTGTGTGTGTGTGTGTGTGTGTGTGTGTGTGTGTGTGTGTGTGTGTGTGTGTGTGTGTGTGTGTGTGTGTGTGTGTGTGTGTGTGTGTGTGTGTGTGTGTGTGTGTGTGTGTGTGTGTGTGTGTGTGTGTGTGTGTGTGTGTGTGTGTGTGTGTGTGTGTGTGTGTGTGTGTGTGTGTGTGTGTGTGTGTGTGTGTGTGTGTGTGTGTGTGTGTGTGTGTGTGTGTGTGTGTGTGTGTGTGTGTGTGTGTGTGTGTGTGTGTGTGTGTGTGTGTGTGTGTGTGTGTGTGTGTGTGTGTGTGTGTGTGTGTGTGTGTGTGTGTGTGTGTGTGTGTGTGTGTGTGTGTGTGTGTGTGTGTGTGTGTGTGTGTGTGTGTGTGTGTGTGTGTGTGTGTGTGTGTGTGTGTGTGTGTGTGTGTGTGTGTGTGTGTGTGTGTGTGTGTGTGTGTGTGTGTGTGTGTGTGTGTGTGTGTGTGTGTGTGTGTGTGTGT